AAGATGTTGCGCCAGGAAGATGGAGATAAAAATCCAGAGGAAACCAAGCAACAAGAAAGCCAGGCGGCTTCACCAGCAGAGGGCACCAGACCACCAGCGGCGCCTCACAGGAAGTCCGGGTCTGTTGTAACCACTGGTAACTCTGGGGACAATGAAGGGAGGGGACACTGGATTCTTATTATTATTCCCGTGTTATTAAACTTCATGGCCAGAATACTAACAAGCATTATATAAGAAAAGAGCACAGGACTTGGAGTCTGAAAAGCCAGATTCTAGCATTTTGTAGCTTTTTGACTTGGCCAAACACCCAGAGCCTCCATTTATTTTCTTACCTATGAAATGGAAAGAAAAAATAATAATCACAGCAATGGTATGTGGCTTATCAACTTCAAGGTTTGCTATGGAGGCTGATAAATAAAAGGGAAAAAAAGATCTATAAGCACAAACCTTAGTTATTTCTGGAGATGTGAACTCAAAAGAAAGTATATTAATCTTAAAGAGCAACTCACTCCTCATGCCACAGAATCCAGATGCCCAAGACTTATTTAACCTTATCACCTACTTCGGAAAGATACTTATGTTCCAGCCTGCACAGATAGTGGGGATTTGTGGATTAGGGAGTCCATTCAGAGAAGCACCAAATCCCACTGGGTAATTAATGGTACATACCATTCCACCCCAATCTCCGGTACTTAGTGAGACTGGTAACAGAGAAGCCAGGACCCACAGTGTGGAGAATCCAGGGGGAAAGATCTAATAGTAAAACCAAATCCAGGCTGTCCTTCTAAAACAATTACTGGAAAATTGCAGAACCAGTCTGCCCCAGGGAACCTCAGGGAAAATATTACTTTGATTGTGTGATTGCATCTTTCACAGAGCATGCAAGAGCATTGCCAGACACTGCAAGGTAGAAGCTAAGAGCTCCAGTAGTTATATTATGCCTTTGTGGAATTGCTATGCTTAGCTTTTGTTGAAAGCAGCACAAAATTAAAATGCCAAAGTTAAAAATCACAAATTCTGAACTCAACTACAGGACAGAGTTCCAGGTGATTTCATTCTATTTTCATGTGATGGACTATTAATTGCAATCACTGCATAGAATTTTTATTTAGGACAGCTAAGGTTTCTCTTGCCTCCAAGCCCCAATCAATGTAGTCCTCTCTGCTGGGGAAATTTCTCTAACCAATCTTCCTGTCATTTGCCTCATGGGCTCGTTCAAATTGACATCTGAGAGTTAATTTACACCTTCTTATTTTACAAAAACAATCTAGAAGAAGGTACCTAGTGATTTATCTCATTTGAATTAAAACACTAAATTCCAGTTTTCAGTCTTATATGGATTATATAAATGGGAACCCTTGGGGAGAAGCCCAGATGAACTAGGAAAATTTTTCTGTCCTTTCAATTATTTTTGCAACACATCTGTGCTGGTTACTTTTAAATCTACCACTATCTCTTCCTTAAAATCCAGCTAACAAATCGTTATAAATAGTGCCTTTTTAGAGAAGGAAAACATGTCACCTCTCAGTTCTGCTATAAGGAAGTCATTAATGTAGTTTACCGAATTAGAACAATCTCTGGAGCAGTCATGTCTTTTCTGGTCCTTAGGAATGGGTCTAGGGAACTCTTTAAATTGTAACTATTATGTATTGCAATTTTTTAAAGCTACCATGTATTTATTTTAAGATCAACATAGCTTTATTTTGGATATACATAGTAGTGTGCCATTCACTGACATTGCTTGTTCCCTCCCTTCTGGAGATACAGTAGTACCATGCCTGCCCCTGTGAAGTTAGGTGGGGCCAAGTGAAATGCTCTGGACAAGGACATGAGAGAGGAAGTCCATGTGTCACTTCCCGTCAGAAGCCTTGAAGAGCCCATGCCTGATTGACCCTGTTCCCTCACCCTGTCACAGGGTCCAGCAATGTACCATATGTTGGAGGCTCCAACAGCCTGATCCTAGGGAAATCCTGAATCAGAGACACTTCCAAGTTGGACATGTAGTTTGGACACATGACAGGCAATAAGTCTCTGCTATCTCAAACCACTGAGATAGGAGGGTTGCTTATACCACAGCATAATCCAGCCTACCCTGACTGATACCACATCAGAAAGTCTTGCTCAACAATGCTCCATGACACAGACCTCTGTAACTCATAGAGGTCAGGGACGAGGTCAAGGGGCAGAGCTGTAAAGGGATATATGACCTAAATCATAGGTCAAAAGGGATATAGTTTTTGAAATATGATGGGAAATTGTAGAAAGAGACAGGCTTTCAGAGTCAACACAGCCCAGCATTCAAAATTTGGCTCTGAAACCACCCTTAATTACACAGACAAGTTCCTTAAACTCTCTCAATCTCAGTTTCCTTCACCATAGAATAGGAATAATAATACCTTTCTTAAATGAGCACCTACAAGCAAAATACCTTTCACATAATTTCTCAAACTGTAGCTGTTATTTTTATCATCCATTCTTATAGAAGAGAATCTGACAATGGGCAGCGCAAAGCAGAATAAACATTTTCACTTGTTCATCTTTGAAAAATGTTATGGTAAGCCTTGCCACTTATATTTTTTGATTAAACAACAAGCCCTGGTACAGGAAATACAGATTTTATTAATAGCAGTACTGGCATCTTACGAATGCAGAAAGTAACAAATATATAGATGTTAAGTACACAGAAAGTCAATGATAGAGAGGGATTTATTTATTTACTCAATTTATGAAATCGTGACCTTGAAACTCTTATGCAAAAAAAAAGCCATTAATCCCAATTTGTAAACTACATGAAACTAGCAACAGGAGTGGTAATATAGATAAAAGACAACACAAGAAGAATTAGAATCGCTTTTCAAGCAACATTTGTCTGCTCCTTTCTCATTAAGCCTGTTTTAAAAGGTGAGGCATATTCCTGACCCTAAGAATTAAAATTCCTCACCCCAATCAATCTGGTTTTGCACATTGAGATATATTGCTTTTCTCTACAAGCTCTAAAAGATTGTATAAACCCTGAGGTAAGCAGAGATGAATTTCTTAATAAAAATTCAATTTGTAGGGTTTAGATATTATTTACTTCTTGATTGTAGAGTAATTTGTGAGCCTTACCCAGTGTGGCTACATAACTTCTTCCTCTGGCAATGGGAGTGAAATTGATTGGATCTTTTCACAGAATAACATGAGTTGACCCAAATTTTTTTCTCTCAAGTCACACATATTACCCTGCTATTTACTTTCTGTCAAAATAATCCTAGCATGCCAGCCACCAGGCAAAACATAGATATTTATCTAAGAATTTTCATCTTTGCTTAGTAAATGATTCTGTTGGGTGACAGATTCCTCTGCTCACCAAATCTATTAAAAAAAAAAAAAAAAGTAACTCAGGCTTGTCCATTTGTTTCACCTTTGTCAAAAATTTCCTGAAACAAGTCCTTGCTTTTCGTTTATGCTAAAGACTCCTTTCTTATTTTGCGCTTCCAGAGCTATTAGTTTTCTGCAGTCATCACTCAGGCCTTAATTATACTCTCAAAGTCATAAAACTTCCATACACCAGCCACACCACGTGCCTGCCTCCTGGTACATGGGCCAGTTGGAGGCCCCAGTTCTTTGGACTCAGCCACATTTCATGGAGCACTGGCAAGGCAAGATGGTCCATATGGACACTGCAGTGCAGGACTTTCAGACCCCAGAGAAAAATAAATCCCATTATGTTCTCCCTGACTTGATCCGCTCAGATCATAAATATATGGACAGAGCCCCTCTTTCCAGGGAGGAAGTCTTTGCTGGAATGGGAAGCTGAACACGTGAGGATCTGCAGTGGAATTCCCAGTGAGTTGTGCCTCCTGAATGACCTCTCTAGCCAACTGTTAATCATTCAGCCGAACTTCAATTGGGGAAAAAGTAGTAATAAAATTAAACCACTCAAATCACATAGCACATTTTAGGATAATTTCAAGCAGAACCCACAAGCCCAATAACATGCAGAGGATATTTCAAAGTCGAAAAGCATATTTAATTCTCTCTGGGGCCAAGGCAGGGACACAGTAAAGGAGACATCTAACTGAAACTGCACAGAAGCCTCCAGCGCTTCAGGCTGGAAGTCACCAAACACTATATGGAAGCTGGCCGGGGAGTCTGCATTTCCTGTGGGCTACATGCTGGGAGACTGGTTGCAATTATCATTATTATTGATCAGAACTGAACCTCGGTTGATGGTGTATGAAGTAGTATAATGATGTGAGCTTTTGGTGTGCAAACATACACAGTTCATTGACTTTACTCGCAAATCTCCACACGGTGCTCATCAAACAGGATAGAAGCTGCCCCAGAAAGGAGTATCCATCCAAAACAGTCAGTTACAAGATAAACCAAAAAGATTGTAGCCAGAGAAAGGAGTTCCAAAATGACAGATGTTTGTTACAAGTTCAGAAAAGCAGAGAAAATGAGAAACAGAAGCATAAAGCTGAGGTTCAAAAGGCTTCTCTCTCGAAGGCCTTTCCCACAAAGCAGCTGCTCAGAAAGAACAAATTGCCATGAAGGCAGCCTGTAAGAAGACAGCCAACAAGAAGGCTTTACTCAAAATGCTAAAGACCAGAGCTGCAGGCATTCTGGGTCCCAGCCTAGATTATAGGTCAGAGAGACCAGGCTGAGAAGCCTCTGGTAAGAAATAATAAAAGTTTTTGATAACATGCCATCCAGATAAAATCGTGCCTCCTCCTACTTTAGGACCAGCTGCACTCCAGAGCTATTTTTAAAAATAAACAAAAGCCTAACCCTGGATCGTTATTAAAGATTTCAATGAAGGGGGCGCTGGTTGGGCAGCAGCAGAGGTATAAGTTACAATACACAACACACAGTAAAACTTTCTGAAATCCTCCTGACTTCTCTCTGCTCCCCCGCCCCTCCCACCCCAGAGTCCTTCCTCTTGGTGCAGCTGCACCTATTCTCATTCTCTGTCTCTGAAAATATTCTAGCATCACTTGGCTGGACGTCTCACTAACCTGTCAGCATCTTCCTTCAGACCTCACGTAGTTTCAGGCTGTTTCTTAAGTGCAATCACCAGTCTTCCGTGGCTTCTTCAGTTTTTGTCTTCAACCATTTCCCTTACTGGATACAGGCATTCTGCGAGGAAGAATCCCCACTCCTGACAAGACGGAAGAAAGGAAAAGTTTATACCAATTGCCCTTTGAATATTACTTTTCCTTTGTACACACACACAGACACACACACACACACACACACGTGTACACCTACAGACACATACATCACAATAGGCTATATGAAGAAGACAAAGTCATTAAAGTATTCAGTTTGGACTGACACTCCTGGTGACAAGATTTATTCACTCCTGTGCTCTCATCAGAACTTTGGTTACTATTTGACAGTATTAGTTTCACATTGTTGCTGAGACAAATTAGACAAACTTAGTCCGTGGTTTAAGGCCACACAAAGTTATTCTCTTACAGTTCTGAAGGTCAGAAGTCTGGAAAGAATTCTAGGCCTAAGATGAAGGGATTGGCAGAGTTTGTTCTTTCTGAAAGTTCCAGGAGAGAATCTGTTCCTTGTTTCTTCTAACTTCTAGAGGCTGTGGGCTTTTCCTGGCTGATGGGAAATTCCAGCCTCTTCTGATCTCTCATTTCAATCTCTTGCTTTTATGAACACATCTCCTATTATTCATTCTGATCTCCTGTCCCCCTCTTCTAAGAACCTTTGTGTTACATCAGACCCACCTAGATAATCCAGGATAAGATCCTTAAGATCTCAAGATTATTAATTTAATCGTATCTGCAAAGTCCCCTTTGTCTATAAGGTAACATTCACCAGTTCCAGGAACTAGAACATGGACATGACTGGGGGACAATTATTTCAGTTTACTACACTGGCTCTCACATGCCACAAACTTCATTTTAAAAATCGGTACAAATTCATGCAACACAATTGCAAGGTGAAATTGCCAAACTTGCAAAAGGTGAATGAATTCATAAAGTTGACCAAAGTTATGGGTGAGAGCCGCTGGAATTACGAGCAAAGCCATTGACAAATGAGCCTCCTGCAGAGACAGAACTCTTCAATCCAGCAAAGCCAGTGTTACTGAAATTCTTCCTGATGAAGAGAGACCCTTAGGAAAACTAATGAAGTGCTCAACTTTTTCCTTGTGATGCAAAAATGTGATATAAATATATATAATCATACAATTATCTTTGAAACATTTTATACCAAAAATGAATCAATCATGATTCATTCTCTGTTCACTCTAAACGTGTAATTATTGTGTTAATTTTATCCCAAAAAGAGAACTTTTTATAATTTTTAGATTTATTTTCCAAGATAACCAATAACCAATTTAGACATTTTTCCCTATTTACGATAAAGTTTTGGTCCCTATTCTAAGTGGATTCATTTTAAATGGCTGTTTTCTATTAAAAATTATCCCTAGAGAAAGGGTGGGGGAGCAGGGGAAAGCCTCCAATGAAGACCCCCAAAAAGGATCCTAAAGGGGCAGACAAGAGGCCTTAGCACAGCTGCGTGGGGAAGCTGTGGAGAGCAAGGCCACGTGCCACCCTAAGCAGAGCCCCTTTCCCTATGTGGCCTAAAGATTATCCCCTTATTATGTAGCCTGAAACTTCATCCGTAAGGGAAAATCACCAGTCTGGTAAGTTTAACATTACAAAGGGATCACTAAGATCAGTGTCACATGGGAAAAGAATTTAACACCTTTCTGAAGGGGTCTGGGGAACATACCATTGATTGAGTGCCTCCAAGTGCCAAGTATTAGGTAGGGCGTAGTCTCCTAATCCTCTGCAAATCAAGTACTGTCTAAGAAAGAGTGTCTGCAACGTCTCACAGATAGGAAATAACAAAGTCATGAGGGAAACTGGGATCTTGCTAGGCACAAAGCCCATGCTGTTTTGCCACCCCATGCTGGTTTGTCTGACTGCATGCCACAACAGATGTGTCATTGGTTTCCAGGAGCTGCCTCTCCCTGTCATAAGGGCTAGATGAGACTGAGTAGATGGAAGATCAAGCATATAAGGGAGACCATCTGGGCCTAGGCCCTTTCCAAGGCTTGTCAGTTTTGTGAACTTGAGGAATAAGAAATGTTTTCAACCTCTCAGAAGATTTCTGCTGCCTCTGTAAAATGAGAATAGTATTAATGCTTGTCCTCATATAGTTGTTGACTTCAAGAAAACTCATCTTAAAATTCAGAGGAATAACTAGTAAGACTCAATATTAAATTAAACATGTCCATTCAAAGTTATCTCCATAAAGGCACCAACAGGAATATTTAGAATGAAACCAGCTGATTCTAAGGTTAACATGGAAAAATGAGCTCTAAGGTTAATATGGAAAAATGAACAGTCAAGAATATTCTGAGAAAAGTGAGTAATGAGAAGGTAAGTCCAAGTAGAGAGCAAAAGATATTATAAAGCTATACTAATTAAAACAATATGATATTATGCCTGGAAGAACAGAACAATAGAGCACAACAGGGAGTCCTGGAATGGACTCAAATACATGCAGGAATTTAAGATATGATCAAAGTGTCATTTCAAATCAGTAGGTAAAAGATGGATTGTCGAATAACCGTCAGAACAACTGAATACCCATCTGAGGGAAACACATTTTGACTTTTGACCTTTCACAAAAAATAAATTACTGATGGATAGATAGATTTCAACGTACAAAATGAAGGCATTAAAATTGCTAAAAGGAAACATGGGATAAATTTTTACAACCTCAAAATCAGGTGGTCTTGAAACTATGTAGAATCTGCTGTAATATTAAAAAAATGAATTTGACTATACAATATTTTTAATTTCTACATGTAAAGAAACCACAGCATGGAGAAAAATAACCCTGTGGTTATTTCTTTTCTTCTTGTATGCCTCAAGATATTTTCATTTGCTATTTCTTCTGCCTGAAAATGTTCTTTCTCCAGCTTACATATAACAAACAGCAAAAATTATTTGCAATGTATAAAAATATTGCAACAAATCAATAAGAAAATATCAACAATACAAAAGAAAAAATGGGTAAAGACAGTAACTCACAAAAATGAAATACAAATGGCTTTCCAGCACATTAGAAAGTAGTCAACCTTACTCAAAATAAGTGAAACTCAAAAAACACTATAAGATACCATTTTTAACTATCACATTGGTGAAAAACAAAAATGTGATTACATATTAGAAAAGTGAAACAAGGGCTCTTATACAATGTTGGTGAGAAGGTGATTAGAACAATCTTTATATAAGGAAATTTGGGAGTATCTGTCAAAAATATAAATGTACATATTTTTGACCCACAAATTCTACTTACATCAAAATTAAATATCTGTGAAACCTTTACATATACATATTCTGATCCTAGTATATCTAATAAAAATATTTTCACATGTATACAAAAAAGGGAAATTAATGCAATATTTTTTGATAATATAAAATAATACAAATCAAATATCCTTCAGTTGGAGACTGATTAAGTAAGTGATAGCACATACATGCAATGAAATAATCTTGGTCAGGCATGGTGGCCTGTAATCCCAGAACTTTGGGAGCCTGATGCGGCGTTCAAGACCAGCATGGGCAGAAAAATAAGACCCCATCTCTACAAAATATTTAAAGAGTAGCCAGGCGAGGTGGTGCATGCCTGTAGTCCCAGCACTTTAGGAGGCCAAGGCGAGAGGATCTCTTGAGCACAGGAATTTGAGGGGGCGGTGAGCTATGATCACACCAGTACACTCCATCCTGGGTGACAGAACAAGACCCTGTCTTAAAAGAAAAGAAAAGAAAAGAAAAGAGAGGTAGGGGAGGGAGGAAGGGAAAGCTGAGGGGTCTATTTAATCTTCATTGTCATATGGCCTTCATTAAGATTTTCCAGATTATTTCTTCCACCCAGGCCACTGAATTTGTAACTTCTTAAAAATTAGAGGAGGAAGAGGGAGAAGGAGAGGAAGGAAGGGAATGAAAGAAAGGAGGAAGCTAGGAAGGGAGGAAGAAAAGGAAGGGAGGGAGGGAGGAAAGGAGGTAGGGAAGAGGAAGGGAAGAAAGAAAGAAAAAGATTCTACAGTCATTAACAGGAGTGAGATAGCTCTAGGTGTGCTGAATGAACTCCAAGTTATACCATTATGTGAAACAAATCAAGGTGTAGAACAAAACATACAGTATTCTACCATTTGCATGTGTATTAGGCATATATGTATACAGCTATATATGTATATTTTAGGATCAAGGATGGAGGAAAACTTGTATTTTTTTAATTTTTTATCATGTTCACATATTATCTATCAAAAAATTAAGAAAGAAAAAATGTTAAGCAAGGCCTTGAAATATTCGGGCAGACTATCCATTGTCAGCACCACTGAGCCTTGTTGACACAAATAATGAAGAAGTTTGCATTGAAATTCAGTAGCACTAGCATGATACAGTGCATATGCACAGTAGGTACTTGGAGTTAGAAGACATGTTTTAGTTCCCAGTTCCACGTCTTAAAAGCTGTGTGATCTTGAAAAGGGCACTTACACTTTTGAACCTCGAGTTTCTCAACTATCAATAGGGACAAACAATACAGGGGTTTCATTTGAGGTTGCCATTGGGTAATACAGCTGAAAGTATTGTATAAACTTAAAGTGACATAAACGTGCTAGTTAACATCTAATTAATTTCTAAGAATTTAATGCCATGCAAACTTAAAGTGACATAAACAAGCTAGTTAATATCTAATTAATTTTTAAGAAGTTAGAAACTCAGTGGCCTGGGTGGAAGAAAATAATCTGGAAAATCTTAATGAAGGCCATATGACAATGAAGATTAAATAGACCCCTCAGCTGCAGCAGACAAAGATGCTCAATGTGTCCAAGTAGAGAGCACTGTTCACACATCTGTCCAAAGGGTGGTGTGTGTGTGTGTGTGTGTGTGTGTGTGTTTGCGCGTGCGCTGGGGTGGGGGCAGAACGCATACATTTTTTCTTTTCAGTTTGAACCCCAATAAAGAAGTTATTCTTTCTCTTTGAGTAATTCAATGAATTCAACCTCTCCCTCTATACTGGCAGATGTTAAACACAAAGGGACACAGCCCAGAGGCAGCTGGCCATGGAGCAGAGAGCTCAGTGAAAGGCAGAAAACTCTGACAAGCCTTTTCCAGGTAGGTGGGAAGCATTTTGTCAAGGAAATTAGAAAGTCATATTTCCATAAAGTTGTTAAAGGCTTGCTATTTAATGAATTGAATATGAAAACTGAAAAAAAAAATGTGCAGATTAGTACTAAGGAGGCTAATAAAGTCATCCCTCTGTCTTCTCGAGGGATTGGATCCAGGAACCGCCAAGGATATTGAAATCCACAGATGCTCAAATCCCTGGTATAAAATGGCATAGTGTTTGCATATAATCTATGCACGTTCTCTAAATTACTTATAATACCTGGAACAATGTAAAGGCCATGAAAATAGTTGTTACATTATATTGTTTTTGATTTGTATTATTTTTATTGTTATATCGGTTTTTTTCTTTCCAAAATACTTTCCATCAGTAGTTGGTTGTATCAGAGGATGTGGAATCTGAGGATATAGAACCTGCAGATATGGAGGGCCGACTGTATGAGGAAACGATGAGCCACAGGCAGCAAGAATTAATGTAAAACAGAGAATGATCAGCAAAAGACAGAAAAGTAAAAGAGAAGCGGCATCACAGGAAACTGGATGTGAAGATTGTAATACATCTCTGCAAATTATTCGATACTCCTCTCTGCAAAAGGCGAGTTCTCTTCATACTCTGTTGGTGGGATTGTGAATTAGCACAAGCACTACAGAGAA